GAAAGAAACTCTAAAATAAAAATGCATGTTTCCTTAGTTTTATGTATTATTTTATCTTTGACTCTTCTTTTCAGCTGAATTAATTCAAAAAGCACAATATACTTGTAAGTCTTCCAATAAGTATCCATCAACAAGAGTAAATCAATTTTTTTTTTCTTTCATATGTATGCATGCACATTGAGCTGGAAATACTAAAGACAAACCAAATGAATTGTCCTCTGTGATGGAGATAACCAGCTATTTTTCTTCCAAGACTAATATTCTTTCAAGTTATTCTGTGTTGTCTTCCCCAGTCTAATTCTCAACAGCATCATGATACATTGCAATTTTTTGCTGTTTTTTTTTTTTAATGAGTTTTGCAAATTCTTCTTAAATTTACCTGTAAAATATAATGGCAATAATGAGTTTTCTCATCTTTTTTCTTTCCCAAATTTATCATTAATTCATTTTGAGTGTGTTCCATGTGGATTAGTAGCTGTGCAGACATTACGCTGTTCTGTCTCTCTATACTTCAGTGTGTGCCTTGATGCTTGTCTGTGTATTAAAGGGACAAAATTCCAAGGTTATGCTTTGCCTGTCACCCAGAAGAAAAAAGAGAATTAGTCAATCACTACTCGCTGTGAATGCTGTTGAAGAGTACAGTAGCCATACGGTCTCTGGCAAGAGAAGTTTGCATTTTCAGGCAGGTTTGTGGTAAGGTTGTTGGCACTTTCTTGTAGGTTTTCATTGAAAAGCAAGGACCGATGACAGTAACCTGTAGAAGCAGAAAGAGGTTATTTTATCTGAGCTTATTCATGATGTGCTTTCCCTGTTTTGTATTTTGAAATAAAATAGAGTAACAGAGGAAAAAAAAATACATGCATTTATTTTAGGCATACTTGGTGAAATCCATTCTGCCCACATAAAGCTCAACTCTTCCATTTTTGTTAGACAAAGATCAGAACAGTAATATATGTAAAATCTGCCCTTCCAATGTTTATGGCTGCTTTGAAAAAGGAAACTAGGGTATCTTTATGCCCTGGCACTGGATACTGTGGGGGCCTCTGGAATCCTTTGGCCCATCTCCACCGTACCTTTCTGCAGACAAAGTGATTTGCAACTCTGAGCCTTGTGATATACAGAAGTGCCCCCGTTCATTAGCACTGCTTGCACTTGTCTACATGGTTACCTTTTTTTCATTGTGTTTCCAAAGACAGCCTAAAGGGACTAAGTTAATATACAGGATTTATACAAGAATTGTAGCAGACTGAAATATGTTAATTTTCAGGTAGTTCTATAAGCAGAAAAATCCAAAGACATGACTTCTATTGATTTGAGCATCACCTTTCCTGTATACGTTGTCTAATAAAACTTCATCAAATGCTGCAGCTTTTCCATGAGTGGGGGGAATTAGTAAAATTTGTCTTCTCTTCTGAGCTTTCCATTTTCATTATATTTATCAGAGATTCATAGAATGGTCTGGGTTGGAAGGAACCTTAAGATCATCTAGTTCTAACCCCCCTCCCGTGGGCAGGGACGCTTTCCCCTAGATCAGGTTGCTCAAACCCTCATCCAACCTGGCCTTCAGCACCTCCAGGGATGGGGCATCCACAACTTCTCTGGGCAACCTGTTCCAGAGCCTCACCACCCTCATTGTAAAAAATTTCTTCCTTGTATCTAATCTAAATCCACATCTACCCTCTTTCAGTTTAAAGCCATTTCCCCTTGTCCTATCACTACATGCCCTTGTAAAAAGCCCCTCTCCAGCTTTCCTGTAGGCCCCCTTTAGGTACTGGGAGGCTGCTAGAAGATCTCTGCAGAGCCTTCTCCAGACTGGAGAACCTCAACTCTCTCAGTCTGTCTTCATAGGAGAGGTGCTCCAGCCCTTGGATCATCTTTGTGGCCCGCCTCTGGACCCACTCCTACAGACAGCTCCATGTCCTTCTTATGTTGGGGACCTCAGAGCTGAATGTAGTACTCCAGGTGGGGTCTCACAAGATGAGACGAGATCAATTATGGGTAATCTATAATTATATTTAAATTGTCAATATGTCAAATTGGCAAAAACTACTATTTTGGACAACATTGAGAGACAGTAAGCAAAATTGTGAGACAGCACACTCCTTTCACTTTAGCAAGGACTAAAAGTTAGAGTGGGCAAAGAATAGGGGTACTTAAAACATGATCACACAAGCTAGATCCAGATGTTTTGCTTTAATGAGTTAATGCTCTGGCTGTTACTGGTCCTGGACTGAAAAATAACTGCTGAAGGTGATTTGAAAAACCCGGTAGACTTTGTGTTGAAGTGAAGTGCAAGCATCAAAATGTCATGTGTAGCATCTCTGTTACATAGAAAATAACCTCCAAGGAAGGGCAGTAGCAAATCAAGGCTGGCTATACCTTGGATCACTACAGCTTCTTCGTGATTACATGATTATATCTGTAATTTTTGACTGGCTTCTTCAATTATTTCAGAAATAAAACCAGGTAGTTTTCTTTGTGATCCACTCTTAGTTCTTAGTCACAGGTGCTTTTCTACATTATTTCTTTTGAAAACCTGGTAAGTCAGGGGTGTTCTGTATTCTAAATGTGTTACAAAGCTAGGTGTCCATCCGTTTATCATGCATACAGAAGATCAAAAATCATATACAATTCCCAATTTAAAATGTAAGAAACAATCACTTCTCCGTATATTTGTTACTCATTTGGATGAGTACATTTTAGCTCTCTGAATAATTCCCTGTTATTTTTCTTACTTTAATTTTGAAAATTGTCATTCTTCATATTTAGCTTTATTCCTCATCTGATAACTGTCTACCTTGCTGAAACCAGCACATATGGATCTTATTTCAGTTTTTACATGATGTTTGTTAAGGTTAAACTGGTAAGAAACTCTGACAATATTGCAGAATTTTCAATATTACTGAACCCTGTCTCACACACTTCACTAATGGAAGATATGTATCGAATATCAAGTAGCAAAACAGACTTAAAAAATCAAGAGTTCAAGTTTTTAACAAAAAATATTAATTAGATGTTTCCAAAGCTTACAGCTGTTTTGGTGTGTTCTTTTAGGCACTGTAATACAATAGTAAATCTGTCTAGACAGTATCGTCATTTGATATGATAAACTGGAATAAATATTTATATTCTTCTTTACCTAGGGAAATTACCGCTTCATGAAACTTTTACTGGCCCGTAGAGGGAACTGGATGCAGAAGGACTTAGAGGATATGACACCATTACATTTAACTACACGTCACAAAAGCCCAAAATGTTTAGCATTGTTGCTGAAACATATGGCACCTGGAGAAGTGGATACCCAGGACAGAAACAAGGTAAAATACTGCTTATTTTGAGATAACACTTGTAGCAGCTTTAGAACTTGGTGTTACATCAAACAGTTGTGTGTGGAAAAATTATTTCAGTCATAACAAACTTTTACTAAGTCTTCAAAATACTGGCTAATGCTGGTATTATAATGATAACCTTTAGAAATATTAGTGTTTTCCTGACAATTATGATGTAAAAGTTCATTGCACTGAGTTCATTGACATTCTTATTGAGAGTACATAGAATAATAGAGGATTCGAAAACCACTGATTTCAAGGTCTAAGTCTTTCTGTAACTTTGTGATCCTTGTTAGAATCAGGATAGCATGTGCTTATCTTGCTTTTCTTCCTTGGAAAATCTCTACATTAAGAATCATTTAATAAGAGTCACTAGAAACTTTTGTGCAAAAGACCTTCAAAGTATTTGTCAATACCAAAGGTGAGTTTAAAAAAAAAAAAAATAAAATTCCTTTGATGCTGAGCTGAATGCAGATTTAGTGTTGATGGACATCTGTCCTAACACCGGGTGATCAATTTTGCCCTGCGCTGGGGCCACTGAAATGATGGTGATACTGACACAGCTGTCCATAGGTGCTACCTTTTAGAAATGTGTTGTGGGTTAGCTTTGGCAAGCAGCCAAATGCCCACCCAGCTGCTTTGTCACTCTCACCCCTCAACAGGATGGGTGGAGAAAATAGGTTGAAAAGTCTCATGAGTTGAGATAAAAACAGGAAAATTGATCACTATTTACTGTCACAGGCAAAACAGACTCAACTTACAGAAAATGAGTTTCATTTGTTGCCAATTAGAATAGTTTTGTATAGTAAGAAAGAGACAAAATTAGAACACCACCTTCAAACCACCAACAATACCACTACCTTTTTTTTCCTGACTCAACTTTACTCCTTCTCTTCTGCTCCTTTACTTTCGTCCACAAGGATGGTCTAAGGGTAAAAATAGTCTATGGAAACTAAATCTTATCTGGTCAACTGCCCTTTTTTATGTATCTCTGTAAATAAATGGACAATTTTTAGAGTCTCCTAGTCATACATGTCTTTTTAGCCTGGGATAGAATGTGATGCCGTTTGTCTGGAAGATTTTCTAACAAGGACAATAAAAAGTATCAAGTTGTTGTTATTATTATCCTCATCATCGTCATAAAATGGATCAATTGGCAGCAGAAGGTCTGCTATCAATGCACATGCGCTGTTGCTTCCCTGAGTGCATCATTTAGTGAGAGGGATGTGAGGATGAAGTCAAATGATGTTCTGGCATGAGACTTTTATTTGAAGCAGAGCACCAGTTAGTCACTTTGACATTTGTTTGTGAAACTGCAGAAAGAAATAAAGGAAGGGAGAAAATGTATTCTTCGGAGCTTTACATTACTACCTTCTTAGAATAAAGTCCCTCAGACCAATTTTCTGTGTCTGTAGTGGCAACAGTTGCTTCAAAGGCCAGGAAATCTTCAGGCGACTTTCCAGGTATATCATATAGTGCATTTATTGTCATGAGTTGTGTTATGTCCATTTGCAAAGTCAACGCATGCTGTACCACATCAATAAAATTTCCAACCTGCTTCATAAGCACACTGACTTCTAAGAGCCTCAGGAAATAATCTACTGATGTTTGTTAAAAAGGACTATCATTATAATGACCAGCCAGAAGAGATGATGGATCTTAGAAGGAAAGTGGTACAGTTCTTAAAACAACTGATTTACTGTTAATACAGAGGGGTACTGCCAGACCACAGCAATAGCACACTAACCCATTTGAAAAGAAGGAATAGTTATTTGTGTATAGTAACTATTTTTTTTGAGGAGCTCAGATTAGTGTGGTCCTTAAGTTTGAGTGCTTAGCAATGCTTGATTTAAAACTGATGTGAAATGGTTGCCTCCATTAGCATTAATAGTAGGGTATGAGGAGGTATAGGACTTTCACACGTTCCTGACAGACATTCTAGGTAAAGGGTTTCTTGTGTTTCTACATATATTTTGAACAAATTTTTTCTGCAAGGATATAGTAACAAAAAGTGAGACACTGTGAATGTAGATAGGAAAAGGAAGACCAAAAAGCAATTATGTAACTGCCATTGGCAAGGTAGACATGTTATTCAGTACAACTGGAACTGTTGCTCATGATGGAGGTTTTTTAAGCATTGAGCAGGAAGGTCTGTCTTAGAATTTCTGAGTTATCTTGGAACTGGTGCAAAAGCTCTCCCCACCAGGCACTAATCTACCACTGATTCCAATGTGAGTGCCCTAACCAAGTGTATTTGGATCAGCTGATAACCAATGTACCAGCTTGGTAAGGCTGGTCTTAGTGGAAAACATCATTCCTTATGTCGTGTAGTGGGTTTTCATTCTACCACAAAAGAACATAGTAAGAGAAGGGGACTGGACTTTCTAGTGGTGTAACTGCTTAAACTCTGAAATTCTTACCTGATTTTATCATCTAGGAAGCAGGATAAGACAGCTGCAAGTCCTGTTTCTAACAAGTAAATCTTTTGTGCCCTCTGGACAATGGAGTTGAACCAGCCTGTGCCCTACTAATCAGCTGTTTGCCTTCCAGGATATTGTAACATGTATCATGGAAACCCTGGCTATAGTTACAGCAGTCGTTCTGGAGAGGTCATGCTGACTTCCTGACCATGTTAATTAATTAACAAAGGTATATGGAAACTGGCCAAAACCTTTTAGGAACCTTGCCTGTTGTTTAGCAGATTTCCAAGACAGTATGAAAGCATTGCCAGATTTCCCACAAAATGTAGAGCACTTTTAGTCCACTTTGTGTCATGAGTAGCCACAGTAGCAAAGATGGAATTCAGGTCGATGAAAGCCGATCTTAGGGACAGAGTCCAGCATGTTTGACCCTATTAGGCACGTAACTTATTTGTTTCCCTTACCACAACTGTGTGCATCAAGATTGTCAAATGTAATTCCTGAACGTGAGAGAGAACAACTGTCTTTTACATCTACTTCCATGTAGGCAACTGACTGAAAATCCAGTTGTAGATGAGAGAAGCCAGTAATCTGAGGCTCCATTGGCCTCTTGGTAATCAAAAGGTTTTGCTTTCAATGCAGCTATCAGTTTCTGGGGATACTGGTCATCTGCACTTAAGAAATAACGTTTGTTAACTTATTACAAATTTCTACTGCTAGAAGTGTTTTCAATTCAAATCCTGACAGGCTGTGATGGTTTGAATGTGCTTTATGGTGCTAGACTATATGTCATTGTATGGGGTGTCAGTTATCAGACCTTTCCTTGCAGCCCCCCCAGTTATGTCTTAGAATGAGCTCTTTTTCAGTGAACTACCAAGTAGACAAAAAGGTTGTGCTGTCATATTATGTTACCACAGTACTAAACTGACAGCTTAAAGCATCAAATACAAAAAATAGACTCCTTTTTGCCTTCCTCCTTTACAGAGCTGTTAAGGATATGATAGTCAACTCATACATTCTATCTCACTGTTCAAGGATGTTAATACAGAGTATCACAGGCTTATACACAAATGTCCCACAGCAGTTATTTCTCTCAGTTTTCAAATCAAAAAGCCGTTTTGCAGGAGTGAGGGGGGGGGAAGAGAGATGGGAAATAAAATTCATTCTGTATCTTACAACCTATATCTGCTACTTGGTAGTTGGGAGAGATGTGTCTGATAAATAAAATATTTGTTAATATACCAACATTTTGCTGTTTAAAAAACCCACACATTGGTTTGTTTATGTAATTATGAACATCGATAATGCCTGTAAAAAGCCACTGGCAGGCAGGAATTAGCAATAGGAGCATGGATTGCCTTTTGATGTCTTATTTGGACTGCCATGTGTCAGTGAGCATTAGATTCAACCTCAGAATTTGAAGTGATCAAGGACAGCACACAAAGTCAAAACTTTTGCTCGAAATGGATCCAAGTCCAGTGTCAGTATTCAGTGAAATAGTTTTTTACTGTGAAGGAGGTCAAACACTGGAACAGGTTGTCCAGAGAGACTGTGGAGTCTCTATCTGTGGAGATAACTAAAAATGTGACTGGGCAGTGTCCTGATCAACTTGTTCTAGTTGACTCTGTTTTGAGCAGAGGAGTTGGACTAGGTGATCCCTTTCTTTCTGTGAAAATATAATGAATATTTCAGGTTCTAACCAACTTTAATTTTCATTTTACATTCATTTTTTAACATGTTTGTAAAACTTGTGAATATTGTGTTCCAGCAAACTGCGTTGCATTGGAGTGCCTACTACAATAACCCGGAGCATGTGAAACTTCTCATAAAACATGATTCAAATATTGGAATCCCTGATATTGAAGGAAAAATCCCACTTCACTGGGCAGCTAACAACAAGGACCCCAGTGCAATTCACACAGTGAAATGTATTCTGGTAAGAAAGTCCATTATATAGGTATAACACTTCCTGGATTTATTACTTTAATCTGATAGAAATATTTTTTATTCTGTGGAAATTTTTCATTTTAGTCCACTGACTCTTTGAGAATGAAATAATTTGCTTTTCCTAATATCCAGAATTTTGTAAGAAATCATCTCTAAATATTTTTGCTCTCTTGAAAGGGGTTTCTTTCAAAGTGTTCAAGGCCAGGTTGGATGAGGCTTTGGGCAACCTGGTGTAGTGGAGGGTTTCCCTGCCCATGACAGGGGGGTTGGAACTAGATGATCTTTGAGGTCCCTTCCAACCCTGGCCATTCTATGACTCTATGATTCCTCTTCTTTGCTCTAACTCATGGACTATGTATATTCTTTGAATTAGTTTGATGTGTGTAACTTCAGTTCAGGGTAAGGAAGGAAGAAAGGGGTTGTGAGTTCACCTAGATAAAATGGCCAGTCATATTACTCATCTCAGTTGCATCTTGCACGCTGATTTCTTTGTAGTGTGTCTTTTCTTCATTATTTGAAATTTTATTTCTAGTTAACTGTACTGAAAAGTCTAATTTAATTTGATCTTTGGAGTCAGAATTCTGGGAGGTATTTGATGAATTATCAGTAAGCCTACTATCAGTTTATTGAGAGACTTTCCAAATATTTTTGTATACAGATTTAAAAACTTTTCCTTGGTGACGTATTTTCTCTTTCTGCAGTATTTCAGTTTCATTTTCTACACTGACAGTGTAGAATCAAGCTCAGCTTGATTTTTACCTTGATTTTTATTCTGTGGAAATCTCTGAACTTCACTAAGATGGAAAGATGCAGACCTTCTTTTTCAAAGGTCTTTCGGAACTAGGCACATATTGATTGTAAGCTAACTGCAATGCATTATGTGTCTGTTTGCCCTATTAGCTTGCAAGTTGAGAACTTCTGTGTGGCATATGAAAATTTGCTTTGCTTTCCTCTAAATCGCATTCATAATCTTAGTTACTGATTTTTTTTTTTACTATAAAAATAGTTTTTGAGAAGTTTCCAGTGTTAATGTGATTTTATTTCTGTATTCTGTTTATTCAAGGTACTTGTAATTTGAACTCGGTTGTGAAATAATTTGTCACAAACAAAATTTTGTCACAAAGTTTTAGTTTGTATATACCATCTACTTTTCTGCCACACTAGAGAAATAAATTTGCTGAAAAGTATGTAAGGGTTGCTGTATTCAAATACAGACTTTTTCATAAGTTAGATAGTCAATGTAAACATTTTTAAAAGTTGTGGTGGGTTGGTCTCAGCCAACGCAGAGTCGCTCGCACAGTCCCCTCTTGTGAGACTGGGAGAAAATACAAGGAAAGCAAGAAGACTTGTGGATGAAGATAAGAACAGTTTAGTATGAAAGCACTATTCAGGAATAGACAAAACATGGGTATGTTATCAACAGTTTTAATCACAAATACAAAGCCCAGCATCATATTTGCCGCTGTGAGGAAATTTAACTCCATCTCAGCCAGATGCACTACAAAAGGTCAAAAATACGTGTCTCCTTAATGAAGGTGTTCTCAAAGGTTCTCTTTAAGTAATACAGAATCATGATCATGTCCAGGCTTTTTCGTTCTTTTTTTCTTTTGTTTTAACTCTGACAGCTAAAAAAATGTATTCTTGGCTCCACCTAGGCTTTTTAGTGCATCAACTAAATTGTTTATATTCTAAATAGTTTTCCTTATATATGCTTATTGATGGAGTAAGATAGTAACAAGTTTAAATGAAGAAGTAATTTTGCTTACAGAATACGCTGTAAAAGTTGATTATACAAACATTGTTGCTAGGTAATCAATCTGTTGATTGAATCTGTTGTTGACTATAAATACCTTTTTTTGGTGGTAAGGTAGTAAAGTCTTGTCTTCTCTCCAAACTGAAGTGATTTTCTTACTTCTCTTGATAGATATCTACCTAGCAGAGCTCACAATCTTCCCCTTCTTTCTTAGCTACTTTTTGCCCTATCACCCAGTTCCAGATCTATTGTCCAAGCAGCACCTTTGATTCTCATTCCTTTCTAGGTCTTCACATCCAGGTTAACTTTATAGTTTTTCACATTCTTTTTGCATGATGTTTCTAATGTACGTACCCATACAGTTAAAATTCCTGCATCTTGTATCTTCACGTACATAATTGCATTTCTAAGTTCACGAGAATATTGTCTTGTAGCAATAGCGGTGCAAAAGGCCTACAACTCTGTGTCACTGTTGCTTCTCCATATTTTTAATCACATCCAACACAAACCATTTGTATTTGCTTTCATGATAGAGTGCTGTAAGCTGTAAGCTATGTGCCGTTGCTCAGATGGCAGTCAGATATTGATATCTACCACTGGTCAATCTGCATTGGCAGCCTTTGTTGCCTGCTGACTAAGTTGTGAAAAACAACACTGCTGTTGTTTCTCTCATGTTATCTTTAATGCTCTGGAAGAATTCACCAGAAAATTATTTTTCTCTAATGTCCTACTCAGAATTCTCCAGTGCTGCTTTACAAAAAGTCGACAAATGTTAAACTGCTGGTTTTATTGAGACCACAGTCTATGATACTGAAAAATACTGTCTTGTTTTTCTGTGCTCTGCTATCTTGATGTGTCCATTTGTAGTCTCCTGTTTATAAATTCATATAATTAAGGGTCATCTTTCTGTTTGATGTTTGTACAGTACTTAGCCCATTGGGATTGTCAAAATAAACAATAATGAAAAGAGCTCAACTGAATGCTGAAGAAGTAGATTGGGTTTACAGGAGTGACAGCTATGCACAAATTGGTTATATCTAATATTGAAATCCATTAAATACAGCAAAAATGGAACTTGTATTTAGAAAGTAAACAGGTGAAGTAGAGAGAAACACTAATCTGCAGGTCCTTTCATGGTCAACTTCCTTTTCACCTTTCCAGATTCAGCAGTGCTTGGTTACATGAAAAACGTTGGGAAGATTTAAGGAGAAAAGAACAGGATAAGGTTCCATTAATATGATGGCAGCAACTGCTTAGTACTCTCTGTCTATTTTGTATCTCTTCTCTTTATTTATTCTTCATGGTAAGAGACATGACATTTATTTGTACAACATTTTCCATTATTATCTACAATTCCACCGTTCTAATAGCTGCAGAAAAATGGGTAGCTTCTGTTTCTTCCATGTATTGTGCTTAAAATATTAATATAGTATGACAGTTTAATTATAGCTGGTTTTACACCAAAACCACTTAAAATCCAAAGAAATTGTACTCTTGAACGTAGGCCGAAAGAGACTTAGAAAATTTTAGTTTGAGTGGCCAAAAATTTTCAAACACTTGAGTACTTTTAGACTAAAATATAAATATTGGCTTTGTAATTAAAAGAGTCTTTACCATTTTGTAAAGTCACACTTTTGATTATGGGAGTATGTCCTGGGGAACATCAGTGGCTTGAGGAGTTTTGGGAGTCATTTTTTCATATGTTGTCGTGCACTTAGAAGGCTTGGAGATTAGCTTTCCAGATTAGATCAGTAAATTATAAGTAAAGTAAAAGAAGCATTTGTTTTCTTGTTTGTCCATTTTGTTCAAACAGATTTTCCTCTGGTGGAGTTAGAATTGAAGTAATAACTTCTGTGCATATCATCATTCGTTTTTAGTCCTTCTTAAAAGTGATTCTTACAGCGATCACTGCTGATTTTTTGCAGTGGGCTCTATACTCCCCCTGCTGAGCTCTTTGAATAGACAGAAGGTAGGCGTATGATTAGTTAGCTTTCTCTTGAGAATTATTAAAGCTAGGGAAGAACATAAAACATCACTTTTCACTCTAAGGGCTCAGACAAATGCTTTTGAATGCTTATTAGAAGAAGTGTTATTTATGCCTTGATTATTGTTGTTTGTGTATGTAACAAATGTTAACTTTCATTGTATTTTTAGTTAAGAGATTCACATTTATAATTTTTTAATGTTTTTAATAGGTTATCTCTTACTGTAGTTCATTACTGTATCTACAATATGTTTCAAGCCTGTTAATTTTTTTTCTCTAGCAAAACATGGCTAACTACTGATATCTAAAACTGATGAAGTTTTTTAATATGCGAGACAGGCAACTTAATTAGCATTTACATATAGTATGCAAAATATGTAAATGTTTAACTTTAGAAAACTTACATTAATCAAATATTAGGAGGTTTAAGTTGACACTGTTAGAAAGTAAGAAACAAAGAATTAGGGCATTACAGGGTTGAGGTTAGTACAACAGTATAAACTTAGCCAGATTGCACTCAGGAAATATGCTTAAGTATAACTCTAAATGTGTTTATTTTTTTTTATCTAGTAAATTGAACATATAGAATGTACAACCTTGGTCAATTAATATTTGGACAGAAACCGTAACTCTGGAATTTCCTGTCTTCATGTTCCTTGATTTATCCTTCTCAATGTTAGATGTTTGTTTACTATGTAATAGTTACTGCATTTCAAATAATGCAAATGTAAGTAATTTTATGGCCTATTTGTGTACCTAGTGAAGTCAATAGGAAAAATAGCAATTAGTTTAGTGAGAAGGGGATCAGGAACTTGCTTTAACTGCTAATAAGCTGCACTGATCACAATCTTTCCCTCCTCTTTCATAAGTATATTATTAAGACAGTGTGGCTCTGTATTTTCAGGAGGATTATTTTTCTCAGTTATCATGGGTTAAAATCCACTCTAATGTTGGAAGCTAAAAATCTCAAGACTACATTCCTTTTTTCTTTTGCACAGGGTTCCTGTGACTTAAGTGAATTGTTCTGAACTGTTGGAGATAGTAGACTTGTTCCCTATAGTTTATTTGTTATGACATTCTGCTTCTGCTCTAGATGTTCAGTGTCCTGCATTTCGAGTTTCTATTGTTTTATTGTTTATTATTTTCTTTAGAGATGCTGCTTTTTTTCAGGAAAGTGAAGTTTAAAGTTTGTATTTCATGGGCCTTTATGATATTTGCCATTTGGAGATCTCTGCAATACTAAGATGATGTTCATTTGTACCTCTTCTGTTCTTTTGCCTGAGAAAGAAAGTCAAGAAGAGAAATCTGTCTAGACAAAGTTGTTGAGAGAGGAAATTATTGTAATATGAAACTGTATAGCTAGGGGCCTTATATGAAAGCAATTTAGCATGCTTTTTAAGAAAAGATGATGAAAAGTCAAGATATATCTCTTAATGCCTATGTTATATGATCAAATGACTAATCATGATACTTTAAAAGATTTTTTAAATTCAAAATTAAGCCCATTACAAGTAGATGCATTTGTTAGGAGTAGTCTCTAACTTACTTCTATCGTGTCAGCTGGAGATCTTGACATCTCCTTTAGAAATATTTTGATAGTCATGTGGGTTTAAAATGCTAAAAAAGTATTATAATGGAAGCCGTAAGATCGACTTATGCAAAAGGAAAGTGTCCTAGGAGAAATATGTGAAGATATATATGTTGTGTTCAACTCAGAAAATCAAGTAAAAAGATCCTAGTTATTTTCACAAGAGCCTGAGTTAGTATTTTAAAGATCTGTGTAAGGAGCCACTTGCACAACAGACTGGTAAAACTACAGGGTACATGCCAAAAATCAGGCCTTGTAGAATAATCAAGTAAGTAAAAAAAAATTTCTGTAAGAAATATTTGAAAATAGCCTATCCTGCAACAAAAGTATCTGGTTGTAGAGCTATATTCTACTGAACAAGGACACTTTATCTCCTTAGTATAAAACTCAAAAAAAAAATTAAATCTGTAAAGAGTATATAGGTTTTTCTCTTCAACTTAGATGTTTTTTAAATTTTGTTTTGTTTTTTTTTTTTTAAAGGAAGCTGCACCTACAGAATCTCTACTTAACTGGCAAGACTATGAAGGACGAACTCCCCTTCATTTTGCAGTCGCTGATGGGAATGTAGCGGTTGTTGATGTCCTGACCTCCTACGAAGGCTGCAATGTGACATCTTATGACAACTTGTTTCGAACTCCCCTTCACTGGGCAGCCTTACTTGGTAAACTGGACAATGCTGAAGTCATTTAATAATTAATTGACTGTGGTGTTTAATCTTTGTTTCTGTTTTTTATTTCATTCCTGCCTGGCATTATGCTAACTAATTGCTTAGAATAATAATAGTTTCTACTAGACCAGGATTAGAAGTTTGTGTGTAGACTGGCTTTTTTAGCTTCAGATTCTCCAAAGCATTGTAAAACACATAACTTCAGCAGGCTATATATGCTCGTGGTTTAAGAACAATTAGAGCTTATGGAGATGTTCTTGCATATGTAGCTTTGTTCATGGTAAAAAAAACCCTGGTACTCTAGAGCAGTGGTGTTCAAAGTGGGACGTGCACACCCCAGCGTGCATGCAAGACAATCCGTTGAGGTGCATGAAGAAAATATCAGAACTTCTTATTTTTTTTTAATCTGAAAAAAATAAGAAAACTTGACTAATACTTAATACACGGATTGATGCTAGCACCCTCACTTGGTCCACATGTAAGACAGTCACATAGAGTTTTACGAGGTGCCTGAGGGAAGCGAGTGCTCCGCAGTGTGGAGGGGTTGACAGTGGCAACATGACTCATTTGTTCACTTTCAGCTTATTATGATGTATTACGGTTTATGTGTACCCGTTTAAGTGGATTTATGGATTATATTATCTAGTTTTTACTAAACTGCCCCTCACGAAATAGACAACTGACTTAAAAAGATTTCCACAAAGAAACCGCAGATAGTCTGATAATGCCAGCACGAGTGAACAACAAGAAAATGGCAGATCTGAGATGACTTCTACTCCTGTTGCAAGCTCTTCATCAGACACATTATGACAATCTAATCAGATCTGACAAGAGATTTTATTCAGATAAAGTTTTTTTCTGTTCAGATTGCTACCCTGAGACTCAGACACTCTGTAAATTATAACCTTGCATATGTGAATTCTGCAGGGTTTGGTTTTTCAGATTAAAAAACCAGATCTTTGCAAAACAGCTGAAAACCTGGTTAAATATAAATAGTCTAAATACAGAAAAATGCAACTCATAGAATGACAGGCACAAAAATAATATGTTTTAGAAAATTGACCTCTTATTTTCTATTCTCCTTGTGCAGGAGGTAAAATAAACACCATATACCAGATAAAAAAAAAAAGAATCTTCGAACACTCTCCTTCCCCTTTTAACAGGCTTCATCCCGATGACCCTTTGGGACACTGCAGACAAAGAATGCCAATAAAAGAATCAGATTGCTCACTGGAGCAAGTTACTCCTACTCCAGTGACAATATACATATAGTTTGATTATGTTTATTAAAAAAAGTGTTCTCAGATTTGCATTTGCATTCAGATAAGGATATTGAATTTTTACAGAGAGATTGTGAAACATTTTAAGTGTAATAGGACCGATCTCCCAAAGAAATAGTCATTATCACTTGGCTCTGTCCAAGAAACAAAATTTATCGTGTTTTGAAATTGATTGTATTTAAGAGAGAAGTTTTGTCTGTTGGAAAAATGGATTGTCTAATCAATATAGAATAAAGGGGAAGATGTGCCAAGACCTCCAGAGTCCTTTGTGGACTTGATGAGCTCTCTAGGTGGCATATGCCCATGGGGAACTTCTGACTGGTAGGTCATGATTAATTTTTAGGGTTCTGTTCTTAAGTTAGATACTGGATGCTGTATATAGATCTCAGAGAGTCTAAAATGTTACCAGATGGGTTAACAGAAAGAGGTTTTAAGTAGTGCATGGCTACAGCCACAAATACTCTGTTAAACATGATGGGTTGCATGTGACTGCATCTTAGGGCATTGTTGCTTCTGTTAACTTTCCTTTTGTGTCAATAAAACTTTCAGCCAAGCTACATCTCTTCTAAAAAAAAAAAGTACTACAGAAATGACAGTTCTTGACCTCAAGAATTGAGTTTAATTTTTACATTAATGTCCAAGTGAGATCTGTCTTCGCACCGATATATTTACTGTTGCACTCAATGCAAACTCCCTCAAGCATTCTCTTAAAGATAATTTAGGTAGACCTCCTGTCCTGATTACGGAGTTCAGTTACCCTTTTTCTAGTTGCGTATCCTGAAAGCTCAGGCAACGTTTTTTCCAGGCTCAGTGCTCCTATGTTTTCCTGCTAGGATTGCACTCAGAACCAACTTCTTCCATTGCACCTCAATTCACTTCTTCAATTTGTCTTGCGATGGGAAGAGCATAGCAGCATCACATCTCTTCTCCTTAGTGTTTTTCTGTTAGGGAGGGAGGGACAAAATGTTGCGATGCTCTGGGTCCAGGCTTGTCTTAATGGCTGAAAGGAAAGAGGAGCCTTCCTGTACACCCTAAAGCCCTTAAAAAAAATAATCCCCACATAGTTGTTGATCCTTTTTGACCCAAGTTGACCATTTTCGCTTGTTTCTGATACTTCTATACATATAAAGTCTGAAAGTGCCATTCCACAAAAGAAAGCTTGCTTAGTCCTCCATGTCTTAGTTTTTTAAAAGTTACAGACAACAACTGTTACACAGCTTCATTCTGTAGTTGTTGGTGTTTTCATTAAAAGAGTCTACTGCTAGTAGAAAGATTTACCTACTTTTTTCATTTATTCTAAAGTAATTCAAGTCAACTGTGCGAAAGTAGCAAGCTGCAAAATTGATTGTTTTCCACACACACACAAGATACTGGGAGCTTTCTCCTGTAAAACCAGAGTATTTTTATGTGATTTATGCCTTATAGTATCTCTTAAAATACCAAATCATTGGGATATTCTGTGAGCTGTATATGTCTACAAAAGAAAGCATATGAAGGGATGAGCTGACTTTAGTGGCAATATACTATATTGTGTCTTCGTTTTCCTGTCTGTGAAGTGGATATAAAGCTTACCCATGCCCCCCAGATGTTGTGATTTTAATCTAAAAACATCCTAATCTGTTTGGATGGAAGGAGTTATGTGTGTCATTTTGTTGTTCAGTACAGTTAAGGCAGCTGGCAGTAGACTAGCCTCCAGATTCTGCTATACATCTTCAGTTAAATTTTGGTTGAATAAAACCCAAGTAAAGAATTTACCCTTAATTCCTGTAAAACAATGTGATGTAGGATGAAATTGTCAATGCTGGTATATCCTGCCTTTTAATATAGATTAACAAATGCTCATCATCATCAGTCTATGCTCAATTTACTACTTCTGACTGATCTCTCACTCAAAAACAGAATCTCAGCTGAATTATCAGAAGCTTTTTCTGGAAATATTCAACTCATTCATTGCAATATTAATATCACAGTTATCTGACTAGCTACTGCTGATTTCTTTGTTTAGGGAAATGCTCTAGTGATTTCTTTTAACAGAAATAGAAAATTTTTCCACATATTCCTATTCATAGGTCATCCTGATTTCCAGATGCCCCCCAAAAATAGGGATACAGAGTGGAACACTGTTGGGAAGAAGGTGCATGCCATTTTAATAGTTCAAACATCAAGTCTTATGTTTCTCTCTTATGTTTAGACTATAATGGCTACAACACAAGCATGCTATTATTTATTGAAGTCTGTTAATTTTCTTATGTCTTTTTTTTTTTAATAGGAAAGTGTTTAACTTCAGGATTCAATACTTATCTGGTTTTATTTATTGTTTGTCTCAGGTCATGCACAGATTGTCCATCTCTTACTAGAAAGAAATAAATTTGGAACTATCCCATCTGATAGTCAAGGTGCAACACCCCTACATTATGCAGCACAGAGCAACTTTGCTGTAAGTAGCATATACTCTAAATGTGAAGTAAATATATTTTGCTAAAATATTTATAATGTAACAAAGTGTTTGAGTTGTTTTTAAAATCATATAAACACCATGTTGTCTGCACAAGCTTAATTCGGAATTTTCCTATGTTATGCGATGTAAATGTGGTTATTTTCGAACTATCAAAATGTATTTTAAAAAACTAAATTGTGGTACAAATAAAGGCCCTTTAATCTAGATATTTGCATCAGAACACACAATAGCCATTTAGATACTTCAGTAGAAAACAGAATGACATCTACTATTTTACAGTGCTTTCACTTTTTAAGGCTCATTATAGCAAAATCTAAGCAGTTATAAGGTATCTAGAGTAAGGTCACCTGTATGAGTATTTGCACAGCTGCTTCAGTACCAGTCAAACCAGTCTTTGCCTTCAAGAAGGTGATTAACTTACCAATATTTGCTATTATGAATGAGCTGTTGTCTCATAAAGCATCGCTAAAGAGCGAGTGCATTTTGTCACAATTCTTCATGAACAGTATATTTTTAAAAGGTTTTTAAAGTTTTTAATATTTTTAAAATATTTTTGAAATTCAGAAAACAAAGGAAATTGGTTTCTCAGACAGCCTAATTCTTATATTTTGGTAGAATAGGTAATTTTTTTCCAGAGCAAGTTCAGATACAGTAGAGCTAAGTATAAAACTCAGCAATTTAATGATTGCTGGTCATAGATGTTATTATAGAATCATAGAATCATAGAATGGCCAGGGTTGAAAGGGACCTCAAACATCATCTAGTTCCAGCCCCCCTTGCCATGGGCAGGGAAACCCTCCACTACAGCGGGTTGCCCAAAGCCTCATCCAACCTGGCCTTGAACACTTCCAGGGCTACTTCCAGGAAGTAGTTCTCAAGCACTGGAACTTAAGAAGGCTTTTTTTCATGCTGCTCCGTCTCTCATAATAGTTGAATTATGCCATGCGTAGTAAGATGAGAGCTCCCATCCAGGTTTTCTTCAGTTATATTATTCATAATCACCCTTTACAAAAAGGGTTATTTAGTGCCTAATTAATGTAGTTAGGTAGCACATGTTGCTTAACAGGGATACTAAATTGGGTCTTTATTGCCTACTCACATGTTAATTTTCATAAAACAAGTAAAATTTTAATGCCCTTGAGAACCATTCAAGTTAACAGATCCCGAAGTGCTATTGAAAGAGGGAACTGACCAATGTATATTAATACCACAGCTGTCACCACCTGTTTCCTTGTGTGAGTGAATTTTGGTGTTTTGGTGGGTTTTCTGGGAGGCGGTATTAGTAAGACCATACAGATACTGTTTTAATTCAGACTTTCATTGAAGCATACCTCTGTGTATAATTTACACCTTTTTAAAGAATTTTTTATTGATGCTGATTATTGTCCATTACATGGCATATACATTTTGGGTCTGACTCACAGGAAATCAGAAAAATTTTTTGTGTTGTAAAAGCCATTCTTTCTAGTTTGAATCAAACTCATGGGAAGATAAAATGTTTTTATTTACAATCTAGTGATTATCTCCACATGCTTTTATCTTTTTTTTCTTTTCTATATTGACACATTCCTAAAAAATGATTTTTCATACTGGCTTTCTTTCTCTGGGCTTGATTCAGTTGTATGAATAGTAGAATAGATGGAATCAGATGTTCTTTTGTAATCTCATGTACTTACAATGAGTGTACTGTTTCTCATCTTACATAAAGAATCAAACAGGAGAGTCCCATTCAGATCTGTAAGTCTTTTTTAGCTGATGATGTATCCAAGAGCCCCTGTTTTTTCTCAATTACCTACAAATCCTTGAGTAATTCCCACCACTGCATTCCATATACATAGTCAACTGCGTGGAGATACATCCATGTTTGTTTTGGAAGTAGCATCTAGGTGTTTGTGGTTTGAGAGCCATGTTGTTGTTCTGTTCAGTCTGCCAAGTTTGGATGGGCGTGGTATGTTTCTTAGTTAAAATGTGATGTTTCTTAGTTCCTAACAAGAAGAAGAAAGTTTGTTCTTTTGTGTTTGTTATAAATATTTGCGTTGCTTTCAGTTTTACTTAAGTCGATATCTTGTTCTTTGCTCTGTTTTTCTGCGGGTTACTTACTCTAATGTGACATTTTTGTTTTTTAAAGACTGAAGAGACTTAGCTGACAATTTATGTGAAGAACCCCTTCTCTCAAACTAGCTTATCCCCACTTATTGTAGAAGGAAAAGTTCTAGAAGAAGAGAAGTTACTTAATATAACCACTCAGATAGGTTGCCTGAAATTTAGATGGCTTATGTATCCCGCAGAAGGTCCAAATAGATATCCGTTTTCAATTTTTGAACTTCATGTGTGAAGGCAGATGCTCTGTTAGCATTGATTTTAGTACACAGAATGCAGGACTAAATGTATATTATTATTATTTTTTTCTGAATTTTGCCAGAGATGTCCAAGAGAATGTACTTCCCTTTCATATACTTGTATAAACTCATCTAGTAAATGAAATGTGGATACCTCTGTCTTATTTTTCAATATTCATAAATAATATTGAGTATTTTTCAGTTTCTTAATAGCATAGAACAAAATGATCCAGGTTTACTTCTCTCCTTTACTGTTGTTTTTCAGCTTTGTTGTTTTTTATTTCGTTTTCTCCACTTTTTTCATTAGAGATAAATGTAATTTTTCATGACAAAATACATGTAAAATTAAACCAATTGATATTTCTATTTTATGATTTCTTAACCATGCTGTTCTAATTTAATTTCATTTTGTTTTCAAGTTCTGGTAACTTCATTTTGGAAAATAACTCTTACAGCACTATGGGATTTTCTTCCACTTTTTTCCCATTAAAAACTCTTTTTTAAAAAGAGTGGTTGAAAGAAACGTTGCTTTGCTAAAACTTAATGGAAAAATAAAATGACTTATTTATGTTTGTAGGATGTGCGCCTTAGTATTGAAAAGGTCCAGCCTTCATACTGCTTTTCACTTTGCAGGATTTCAAGCAGTGCCGAGTACTGGTAGGGTGCTGAGTTGCTGGCCTAATGAGTAGCCGTTTGTGTCTGAGGTGTAGTGGTGGTCAGTGTGAGTACACAAAGCTATAAACACATGCTGGTCTGTGTGGAAGGCTTAATGCTTTCATTCTTCATTATTTCTGGCTGGAACTTTTTACAGTAAACTGATAGTTCAGATATGGACCCAAATTCACGAAGCTGTTAGGATCTTAGATCACATTCACATAACATAAATGAGGAATTTCCTGTTTCTTTAGAGGGATGAAATAGTAAGTAGCAGTTTAAAAAAATCCAAACTAATCCATAGGACTTGGGCATTTAAACACCTTTGTGATGATAAGCATTTGATTCCTTATAGCCAGGGAATTCTTATTCTACCCAGAGCAGTGAAAGAGCTATTTTGGGGTCACATGAGGGAAAAGATAAAATAGTGTTAATACTAAAATAGTAAAAAAAAAATAAAATAATGCAGCTCACTTTTTCAGTTATTGGCTAGCCTATCAGTGTCTCTTAAGAGACGTTTACCAGCTGTTAAATACACAGCCTTTGTAAGGCATTAGATAGAAAAGGGAAAATCTTTTTCCTGCGGTAGTGATTTCCTCTCCCTTCCCTCGCTGTGTGGCTTATTAAGAATTTAGCAGCAGGTTAAACAAGTGGACTTGTTTGCTGAGAGATTAACACAAACACAGCATTTGAAGAAATAATTCTTCTTGCTTTGATTTAAATAGAGTTACAGTGGAAAGCCTGGACTCAGGTGTAAAGATTTTCTTAATATTTTTTTTTATTTATAATATTTCAGTAATTAGTAACCTGTTGATATTATTAAATATTAGGAAATATGTCTATGTTGCCCCAAAAGTCCTTTTCTTTTTTTGAACAGTGAAATTATTAGAGTTTAGCAAACTAAAATATTTGCGTGTGCAGTCATATTTAGAATTGGAACAAAAAGTATGTCAGGAGAATATTTTGAAGGAACATTATTGTAGTGTCATAGTATTACAGTAGTATTTTGATAAGCTGATAATATTTTTCCTGCTGCTTTCTTCATGGTGACCGCAGTTTCTTGTGATGAACACATGATGTTTGACACTATGAAGAAAAAACTATGAGATAGATACAGTGTTAAATTCATAGTAAAGGATGTGCTATGAACGTAGACGAGGAAAAGGGTGTAGCAGAGAATACAGTGCTCCTGTTGAGCTATTACTCTATATAAACATAAAAAGGAAAAATGAAGCTTTGATTTGCTTCATAAACCGCTAAATGAGACACAATGGTTTCTTGTTACGGATTCCTTTTGATGTTAATTTCAATAATATGTCTTTTCAGGAAACAGTTGAAGTATTTTTGAAACATCCTTCTGTAAAAGATGACTCAGATCTTGAGGGGCGAACATCCTTCATGTGGGCAGCTGGCAAAGGCAGTGATGATGTCATTAGGACTATGCTGACTTTAAAATTGGATATTGATATCAATATGACAGACAAATATGCTGGCACAGGTAAGATGCTTTACAGTAAAGAGCCACTGGATTTTACAGTTAGTGTGATTTCCACCAATTAAAAAACATTGTTAGAAGATATATTAATCTCTTGCTGGATGTGTACCTGAAGTATTTCTGCATTAGTTTAATTATGTGTGTGAGTCATTTTTTGCCTTACTGTAGGAAAGAAACAAATGTTTTCTGTGCAGATTGGACCAGTTCATTTGAAGCCTAGCAAGAAGAAAAATGTACTGCTATGCTGCTATTTAGTGAGATCTGTAATCCTGGGAAAAGCAGAGCTGTTCTGTATTTTGAAGAATGAAATGAAATATAATTGCCGAAGAAGCCCTCCCTGAAAATACCTGTTAAAAAAATTTGTCAGTAAATAAATACCTTGAAACAATACAGAGCAAACGAAGTGGCTAAATTATCATCATGAAAATCCTAAGTACCTTAGTTATTTGTAAAGACAGTGTAAGAAAGATTAGAGCTATTGCACTTCTGTTGTCCAAACAAGAGGTTAAGCTTGATAACCCGCAAGTTTATCATCCCATTATCTGCCCAAAGCAAAAGATAGGTATGCAACACAGTGTTTCAGAATTCAAGCATACAAGTCATGAAATTTGAAATTTCCTATAGCGACTATGAATTTATCTCCTTTAATGAAAAATTGTAAGAATTTATGGTAGAAATATTGTACCTATCTACGTAGTACTTTCAACAAAAACAGAATAACAGTTCTGATAGATACGCGTTGAAGGATATGTGTATTCCAATATATGGATATGTGTTGGAAATATTAGTGAAAGTAGTGGAGCCATATAGTCTGCTGATGACATCTGCTTAAAAAAAAAGAGGAGAATGTGGATATATTGGGCATAAATTGAAGAGATTTGCTAGCAGGGAGGTGCGGGGGTAAGCTGTGTGGGAAGAGGTCACGAACTACTCTATGCCAGTTACAGCCAGATCACAAATTTAGAAGGTAAGTGCAAAAACGTATACCTATGTATAAGTAGTAAAATGGTAGCCAAGCTGATAGTCAGAGCACACACCCATGAATAATACAGTAGAGGGCATTTTTCCTGAAAAGAAAACTATGTGTTTTAAAGTATACTCAAGCATTATCTTTTGGCTGCACGTACATAAACTAACCTAAGCTGCATGCTTAGATTTAGGGAACTTGCAGCATAGATCTGTCCCAACCAAGAAAAAAAGATAGGAGTTTAACAGCTTTTCTCTTTTCAGATCACTCTTGTAATTACATAGAAATGATAAATAAATGCACTGACAGGGTTGTGTGGGTTTGGGATTTGAAAGATAGGATGTATGAATATTACTTTCATATAAAAAAATTGAAATGTTTATTTCCTGTGGTTTTATGGGGAGGTCTTTACACAAAAAGCTAAATACAGTTACCATAAAATAATCTGTATTTAAATATCTAAATTTTTCCTTACAAATTACCACACTGAAAAAATCCGTCTTTCCAAGTTATGGTAGTTTGTAATTTTTGAGTTTAAGAAATAGTGCAACAAATAAAATCTCAGTTTTCATGTTTGATGAAAAGACTATTTACAGACCATGTACTCTACAATTTTTAGTCTGGTTTCCTCTTTTATCAGTCTCACCTATATTTGCTCCTTCCTGACTGTTCCCTTTGAAATACCTCACAGTATTTGTTTCAGACCTTAAGGTGCGGTAATGTTGTAGTCACTGTGCAAACCTCCTTACGAAGGGTTTTGTTCTTTGCAGACAGTAATCACATACTGTGTTTCTGAAATTGCTCAGGTGGGATTTCCTGCTTGAATAATTCAGGTGGTTGGGTTTATTATCTTTCAGTCTTAAACCTTTCATAACAGTGATGTGTAATCACCTTTAACTCTTGATTTTTGTTGTAGGGCCTTTAATCCAAGGAAATGAATGGATTTTCCGTTTACTTGAAACTACCATTATGTAGAACAAACTAATAGTCTTAAAGTGGGGAACGATGCCGCTCGTCGCTTGCTGTCGAGCAATCCAAATTTTACCGTTGTGCAAGCATGCGCAGTAGCATGGGCTTTATTGTAGTGAGCTGTAAACTGAAAAGGAAGCCCACCAGTAAATCACTCTCTGATTGCAGACCTGTTTTTTTTTTTCCGAAGGTTCTTAATCATTCCCAAGTTTTGGTGAGGGAAGAGTAGTCTGACGGGAAACTATGCAGTAATAGAAAATAGCGTACATGCCTCCGTGCCTGGGATACAGTTGCTGAGGAGAGTTCAAGGTTGTGTTTTTCTGACTTTTGTGTGCCAGCTCAGTTAAGCTCAGTTATAATGTTGTGTTAACGCAGCCTTTTGCATTTACTTAAAAACTCTCCATTCAGCTTTGCTAGAACATTGAGACTCTCCGTATTGTGTAGGAGAATGACACCAAGGGAAAGGAATTTCCCTGTTCTCAGAGATCAGCGCTGCAGGAGCATTACAGGGGCAGCTTTATAGCTCTGCCGTCACTGCGTACAATGGAGAGGGCTCTGTTTGTCGGCTGAACAAAGGGCCTATTGTGACCAGCTGGCTGAAGAATCTCTTCAGTCACCGTGACTCCATCACAGAAAATTTGGCTTACAAGAAAATATTGAGCACAAAGTCCGAAACAAGATGTCTGCGTCAGAATGAGTGATGGGGAGAAGAACTGGCCAAGCTGACACAGCAGCTCTTTTTCTATTGTATTGTTGTACACACCCCATGTGTCATCTGATGGAGTGGTTTACTGCCTATGGTTTCATAAGAAATGCAGTATGAGAACCAGAACCTAGAGTTTGCTGAGGGGTCAGACCATGAAAACTAGGCCCATCTATTTGTATGAAGCGGCAGGGATCTCGTTCTTGTAAAATTTCTACTGGTAGCCACGCACTCGCTTAGCTACTGCAGATCTGGCTGCTTACAGATATTTTTCACGAGTGCAGTGAGTGCCCCTGTGCTTTTTAGCTGCAACAGTTAAACATCAGTGTCATCTTAGAGGCATGATTTCAATTACTAAGGCAGCACTTCTCATCCTGTCTCGGGCTGTGACCCCAGTTCTTGAAGGAAGTGCCTCATTTGTCTGTATCACAGTTCCAGTTACTATCACTAATTTTGAGAATCTGTTTCAAGGCAACGCACTTCAGCCGGATTTGATTCATGGACAATGGGAACACCCTGTGCAGTGTAGCAGTGCCTGTGTAACAGGTTATGCTGGGTTACTGTTTCATAATCCTTGTGAAGCAGGTACCAGTGATAAACAGTAGCAGACAAATACAAGAAGCCTAAATGTTTTGATACGCTGGCTGTGGTTCAATAAGCTATTCTTTCTAACGTTGGCCTTGGTGGTGTGCCTTTCTGTGTAACGCCTCTGCTGGATCCTGACCCTGCCTGTTTTAACATTAAACAAGTAGGTGCTGTTTACAGCCCCACATTTTGGTTTTTTGAGCACACTGAATTCTTACTAAGGATGAGTGTTTTTGAAATTTCACAGAGAAATATGAATTCACTGTACTAAATGTGCATTTACAAATTGCACTGTTTCGCATTTTTGTTCGAAATTATTTGGATATTGTAATCTGTGAGATAGTTTCTATGTAAGGCAGTATGCCTCTGAGAATGTAGATTATCTGATTTGATTGCTAACTGTAGGAAATAATCCAAAGCCTTCTGAAATCAAATTGTAAGTGAAATCACCAATATACGTGTCCTCCATTGGTTTGAAATCTCATTGCTGTGTGTAGTTTGCCTTTCCTTCAAAAAGAGCACTGTACTGATTGGACTGGCATTTCAACATTTTCCTCAACTCCAGCTGTCAGTGCCAGCAAGATGCTATGTTAGCTGATAGCAACTTCAGTTATAGGACACCACGTCTTTACTTCTGAGGTCTTACTTTGCTTAGGTAGCTCTGCATTATTTGTTGGTTTGGACTAAGTGAAGTCTGCATACATTCAAAGATGAGAAGGTAAAGAAAACTACGGAAGAGTAGGAGTCTGCAGAATGAACTTTGCATGGCTTTCATACAGCTGAACTTCATAAATTGTAGGGATGAGGCAAAATACAGTGTCTGGTCTGTCCATTGTCTTTTTCTCTTTTCTGGAGAAAATAGGGAGCTGCAGATACTGTGTGAGATGTGATGGCCTTGCTACGTAATTTTGTGTAAAGTTTTCTCCAGGTAATTCTGGGGAAAAAAAAAAATCATCTGAGTGGTTATCTGGAGTTAGTTTTAATTGAGACAGCTTTGCTCATTTGAAAGAAGAAAGAATTTTCAGGAAAACATTGACTAAATAATGAAAGCTTGCTTTTACTGGCAACGGGCAGTTTCATCTCCAGTGGAGTGATTTAAGAAATGCCAAAAAACAGAGACAGAAGTAGATCATGTTACGTTCTCCTAATCAGAAGCTGCTAACCTTCCACAAATCCTCAGTAAAGCCAATCTTGCTGGTGTTAACGTTAAAATTTCTATTTGTACAAGTTAAAACCATGTTTCAGGGCTAAAAATTTTTCTGCTTATTGCTCTATTGCTTGTGCGACAAGGAAATGTGATTAGTGATCACTTCTCATAATTCTTCAGTTTCTTATGGTTGAAAAGCACTTTTTCCCCCAAAAGTGGTTAAAATTAATTCTTATTTTAACTGTTCTAATTGTTTTAACTGTTCTTTCTCCTACTACTTTATTCTTTTAGCATTACATGCTGCTGCCCTTTCTGGCCACGTCAGCACAGTGAAATTGTTGTTGGAACATAACGCACAGGTAGATGCTTTGGATGTCATGAAACATACCCCGCTTTTCCGAGCCTGCGAGATGGGACACAAAGAAGTGATACAAACACTCATTAAAGGTCAGCTGTTATGAATTTACAAACCTGTTCAGAGTTCTGGTGCTGCTCTCTGCAGGACTGGGAAATAAACAGCACAGCTAAGCAAGAGGTGGGGTAGAAAATTACTTCTCTAAAGCAGCTTTTGTCTGTAAGTACCCTTTGTGAAACAGCACTAGTAAATATAAAATGTTATCAGATGTTGTGCAAAATGGCTAGAAGAGTTAAATATAAAACTTTCAAAATCGGGATAGTTCTTTTCACACCTCTTTTCTGCTCAAACCTTTTCAAGTATGTTCTAATCTCTCAAACTGCCTCTTTCCCCAGCAAGTAATTGTTTTACTTTGGTTTTTTTTTTCCTCCAGTAAGTAAGACCAGTTTAAGTTTTCTTCTCTTTTGTGGGAGAGCATTTTTAGGCTTCTTTGAAGACTTTTTGACTATTTAAATGAATCTGTACTTTTTAATGAAGGTAGTGGTCAAAAATCTTAAATTGTTAATATTTTCCTCTGCTTGATCTTTATAAGCAGTATTGTATTTGTAGATAGAAATAAGATTTAACAATGTACAGAGTTTTAGATAATTGTAAAAACTCTGCTGAAGTGGAAGAAATACGGTGAAAGAACACCGATATCTTAGGTGTAAAATTCTGTCTTTTTAGCTTCACAGAAAAGTTCTAAGTAGCTGGAAGCAGTCTCCTTCCTACTTGAGATGTTAGCCCATTTATGGACAGTTGAAGTATCTAGTTGCAAGATTTCCATCAACCAGCCTTGCTTACTGAAAAGCAGGCTTCCCTCTGTGATCTACTGAGCATATTTTAACCTCCTGTTAAGCTCTTCCTCCCACCACCTATGCTGTTTAGCTTTTGTAGATGCAAGAAGCTTGGTTATCAGAATCTCAGTTATGTTTAACTAAATATTTTATGATCTAGACATTCATTGTTGGTGGTTGGTTCAAGTTTTTCTATTTGTACAGAGTTTTTACATCTTAAAAGAACACATAGAGAAATTATCTGCATAAAAGGGTCTTAGCGTGCTTGAATTAAAATAAAACAAAAGCTTTTTTCAAAAGTAATTCTTACACTGTGAATATTTTGTCGTGTCTGCTTATTTCATATGAAGTCTTAATTTTCAAAAGTGATTTTGTTGTTAAGAAATAAAAGTTTCACTGAAAATTAGTGGGCCTGAAACAAATAAAGGCTAGGTTTTTCAAGGACATTTCACAAATTTGAAGATTCTAAAGCATCTGAGAGGATACTAACAAGCTTGTAAAAAAGTTAAATGCCTGACCCTCACTGAAATTATCTCATTCACAATTAATTTTGATTTAGGTTTTAGGATTTGAGTGACAAAGTTGACTTTACTTTCTGAAATATTTCCCTGAATTGTCAGTTCACCAAATAAGTTTTAATTGAACATGAACTTTTTTTTTTTCCTTTTCATTCAAAAGTATTGTCTTTCTATGTTCAAAAATGTATTTCTTGTTACAGGAGGAGCAAGAGTAGATTTGGTGGACCAAGATGGCCATTCGCCCCTTCACTGGGCAGCCCTGGGGGGAAACGCTGACGTCTGCCAAATCTTGATAGAAAATAGAATCAACCCTAATGTGCAGGATTATGCAGGTAGAACACCTCTGCAGTGTGCTGCTTATGGAGGTTACATTAACTGCATGGTAGTGTTACTGGAAAACAATGCAGATCCAAATATTCAGGATAAAGAGGTACGTTGTTCTTCACTGGTTAATTACCTTCAGAATAACCATAAGTCAAAGCATTTTCCTTTTCTTTGAGATCGTTCTCTTTTCTGGGACATAGAAGCATCTTTGCTGCTGTTTATCACGAGAGGAAATGCATCCTGACATAATTTTCCCTGTGGCTTCACTTCTAAAATCTTGAATGAAGAGTCGTGTTTTAATATGCAGCATGAATTGAAGATTCATATTTTTCTGTATCACTTTTGACTTTTCCTTGTCAAAATGTGATCTTATGAGGAGCCATATTATTCACCTGATTTCTTATATTCTATCATTCCTTATTAACAGCTGACGTGGGAATGTGATTTTGTAGTCTGCAATTTCTTCAGCATAGAGATAGAGCAAGTAAGATATTGCAAGTGAGATTGCACAAGAGCTGCTTCAATTACTTATCCACTTAGGTATCCACATATGTATCACTCTTCCTGGTTAAAAAGAAGGACACTGATTAGTTTATATGTTCTCTTGTGCCATTATTCAAGCAATAAATGAAATTAGGAGCCAGAATAATTGTGCAATGTATAACAAGATTTCTTTATTCTATGACATAATTTCTCAGAAATCAGTAGAACTTCGTCAGTCAAAAGAATTTCACTCAATTTTGTAAACTTTTCTGTAGCTATTCATTTTAGGGCATGGATAATTCTAGGTAATGGAAAAGTTTTTTATTATGAGTTCTACAGAGCATGCTGGGGAGATTTTCCAGCCTGCTACCAGCTCTGTATGGCATCAGCTTGAGTACAGCTGAACGCACCAGCTCCACCTGTTTGATACAGAGACACTGTAGCGTGCTCTTCAGCCTTCGGAATTCAGGAGGTGGCTTGCTAGCACTGAACTCAGAATGTTTTCATGTTTTGCTGTGGTACCCAGCCTTCTAGGTATTTCCCATATTTGGAGTTCAGAAAAGCAAGACACAGATGGGAGGCATGGCCTTGGAAGTGAAGTGAAATATTTATGTTTTGTTGATATTAACAGAGCTTCAGGAATTCGTATTGTGGTTCTATGATCCCAGTCCCAAGAGTGGTCATATATGAGCTGGCTGTGTAGAGTGCAGCTTGAGAGCTGGACTTCAGCTTCATGTGAGAGAAGTTAGACTCCTGAAATCAAGCTCATTTTGAGAGCACAGCTGGAGTCTTTCTTTGTTTGCCTGGGCTGATAAGCTTTCCTCAAATTTCGTCTGCTTCTGACTTCTGTAGTAATACTTTAAGTCTTGTCACAGTGTTTTGGAGCAGCCTAGAAAAGAATCTGGACTACAAAGGTTGATGAGAGCAGCTTCAGACCTGGGCAGCATAGCAGTAAAGAAAGCAACTCTAGAGCAAGTCTCCAAATGCTCTTTTTCAGCTGCTTTAGGTGAAAAAGCACTACTGTTGTGATTTTGTTTAAAAAAAATAAAATAATTACTTCATTTTTAGGTACTGTATTATTTTATTTTAACAAGGGAGTTATTTAGAAGAACTAGATTGTCCTTCATGTCCAAAAAGGATTGAATTGCAGTATGATTTATGAATTTTATTGTGGCATGATAGAGTGCAGGGATAATGTTTATTTTTGTTCTGTTTGATTGTTTATAGGGAAGAACTGCTTTGCACTGGCTCTGTAACAATGGCTACCTTGATGCTATAAAGTTGCTGCTTGGGTTTGATGCTTTCCCTAATCATATGGAGAACAGCGAGGAGAGGTATTGCTTGTCTGAATGCATTATTTTGTTATTCAGCAGAAGTGCTACCTACTGATTTAAATGTTAGAAGTGCTCAGATATTGCCAGAGAATTGTGATCTTGTATCTAAAAAGAGTTTTGTAATCTTGGCCTTCAGTGTGACCAGTGTGAAAAATCTCTTCTTTAAGTAAGACTGCAACTTCAACTGTTTATACTTTGGAAAATTGAACTTACAGAGGTTTCTGTATGTATTTACTCATTCTAGTCTTGTTTGAAATACTAAAGATCTTTTCCATTTATATGAAGGTGGCAGTGGATATGTACGGTCAAAGGATGAAAAGGCATTTCTGCTGCTATTGGAGTAGAGTGGAATGTTTCTTTTCTATTTGGCAGAAATACAGTGAGAAGAAAGAAAATGGGAGAAATGTAATGTTATCTTTTAAAATAGTGATTGCAAATTACCTGGTGGTTAACTGTATTCTAAAGGCCTAGTTTAAAAAAAAAATAAAAATCCTCCTATAATCATAAAAAGACAGTACATTTTCATCTCTTTTCTTTGTCTTTCATGACATATAAATAATAGTTTTTTTAAAGTGATTTGGATTGTGGAGTTCAAATTAGTCACCTGACTGTGAAGATAATTACTATTAGTGGAAATTTGTAATGCCTTTTTTTAGAGTAGATGACCTCCTCATAATTACAAATAAAATTATGATCAGTATGCCATATAAATTTGAATATTTCAGCATTTTAAATAACTTACGGACTTAGTGCTATATTTGAGACTTCCATACTTATCCCAGTTTTTAATTTCATTCTTCCCCCATCATTTCTCATTTGTTCTCTACGCTAAACCACTCAGATCTCTCTTCTTTTTCTGTTACTTTTTATTGAGAAACACAAATGAAAGTATAAGTAGTTCCTAATTAAGTAGTGCCAATGCTCTCTTTAGTAATTTTTGATAGAAAATTAAATAAACAGTTGTAATTAAATTACTCTTAATAAGTAAGATTAAAAGCCACTATTTTGCCAGAAAGGAGGCTGCTATTTTCCTTACTTTGTTGAAATGTACTAATGATGCTCAAATGTCAGGAAAAGACCTTTGCTGTGGTTTCACTATAGTCATTCAGTTAGTATCTATTTTTGTTTCCCTTCTGGCAGTAATATGTGTTCTTATGTATAAACCTGTACTCAAAATATAAGTAGCAGTATTCCAAATGTCAGCTCTTAAGCACTAGTCCATGTACAGAACAAATCAAATCCCCAATATTTCCACATGAATCAGTCTTTAAATATAATTCTCCTAAAAATATATATATGTTATGTAAAATTGCCTCAATAAATATCTACAAAACCTTGTTTTATTGTTAAGAGCTCGGAAGCTTGGAAAGTGGAAAAATCAAGTCAAGTGTTTTTAGAGAGGTTAAAAATAACCTCATGGATATGGTTCATCTGTAATTGCATGAAATTGTTTTTTAATCAGTAACAATTTCACTAAATAGTAATTTTTTTTTTCCAAAATACCTACAGAAAGAAGCTTCCCTTCTTCACTTTCTTTGAGTGCAATATGAGATACCAGTTCAAAATTCAGACAGAGTGGTTAAAACTAAATAGGTTTGTGAAAAGATGGAGCTGAGATTGCATCTGGGATTCTAAGCTGCCCACTTGCTTGCAGATATGGGATCAACTGCTAGTCTGAGGGTGGTAGGCTTGTCGTTCTTTGCAAATTTATTTCGTAACACAACTTTATGTCCTGGGTGCATCCCGTGATGCCAGGCTTGCTGCTACTTGACCAGCTTCATGCTGAATTATGTATAACAACTGGTGGCTGATGTTTTCTTTGCGTGTTTTCCTGTGAAGCCAGCTTGCTTTAGAGATAACCAGGGGAAAAGCAAATTTATAACAGGCTTTGAATTGGCACAACAGAGCAATAGCTGCTTGTGAGGAGTGTATGTGAGCAGCCTTGAGTGGGTAGTGTCCAGTCGCACAAATCCCTATTCAGATTTGATTTGAGTGATTTTTTTATTTTTTTTTTGCTTTCAAAGGTAGCTCTAATGGAGTTAGAGAATCCATGTTTAAGAATATGGATCTTCATGGTGGGGTTCTATAATATAATACGTGGTCTTGGTACATACGTGCTAGTAGCATAACATTTACTTTAGTATCTTTTGTACCTGTTAATTAAAATATTCAAAACTAGGTATACTTTAAAAGCGTGCTTTTCTGAAATGAGAGCCCTTCTGAAGTTCCCATTCCTGGGTTATCAAAAATCTGTATCTCTTTAAATGCTATCAGCAACACACCTTGACATACAAATTTTCATGTTATGTCATTGTCTTTATTCCTACAGACACTTCAGTTCAGATACTGTTAATCCTTCCATCAAATCATTGCTGCGTGGCAAGTCCAATTGTGCTTTCTGTCTGTTTTTCTTTGCTTACCAGCATTGCGTCCTAGCAAGTTACCATCAAGAGCAGCCCTAATTTTCACAACCACATGCATTGACACTTGCTGTTTGATAGTCTTGTATTATATGGCCTTGCTTATGGTTTGTGACTGATAATTTTCAGTCAGTAAATGTCTTTGCCTAATGCTTCAGTGTTGGTGAGGGAGGTATGTAAATTTTGCTCCTGTGTTGACAATGGGAAATTTGACAATTATTTTTAAAAGGGCTTAGACATCTCTGACACCATTAAAAAGCAAAGCCATTTAATATTATTAGCACCTGTGTCTTTTTGAAAACAGACTGAAGTCTTCCTAGTGCTTTGAAAAAAAAAATATTATCTTATCCCTTGATGCGGATGTAATCCTGCTGCTTGCTCAGTCATACTGTCCTCAGTCATTGTTACAGAAGCTAAGACAGATTTGACAGTAAATCTCTAGAAATTAAATTCATATGGAAATACCACAAAAAATGTTTTAACTTACTTTTTGTTTAGATTATGTTTCTATAGGAGAACCTCAATAACACCTTTTTAAGATTTCTTGCCTAAAGCAGTTAATTCTATGGATAAGGCTTTGGAGGATTTTGATCCAACATTTCATATAGTCTGGCCCACACCCTTCTCCCCTTATGTTAAGAGACTAAAATAAGCCTTAAACATAGTCACAGTGCGCAGAAGAGTAAGACAGGAAAGTAATGTTAAAAAATTAGTAAAACAGCCTACTGAAAACAGTTTTTAATCTGTCTTCATACTAGAAGTTGCCTTATTATGAAATGAGGATACATTTAGATTAGATCTAAGGAAGAAATTCTTCACTCTGAGGGTGGTGAGGCATTGGAACAGGTTGCCCACAGAAGTTGTAGATGCCCCATCCCTGGAGGTGTTCAAGGCCAGGTTGGATGAGGCTTTCAGCAACCTGGTGTAGTGGAGGGTGTCCCTGCCCATGTCAGGGGGGTTGGAACTATATGGTCTTTAAAGTCCCTTCCAAACCAAACCATTCTCTGATTCGAAGTAAACACAGATTATGGTTAGAATTCTAGTTAAATGATAATTGTTGTGGGTTTGTTTTGGGTTTTTTTTAGGTACACTCCACTTGATTATGCCTTGCTTGGTGAACACCATGAAGTGATTCAGTTCATGTTAGAACATGGGGCTCTGTCTATAGCTGCCATACAGGACATTGCTGCTTTCAAAATTCAGGCTGTCTACAAAGGATACAAAGTTAGAAAGGCTTTCCAAGAGAGGAAGAATCTTTTAATGAAACATGAACAGCTGAGAAAAGATGCTGCTGCCAAGTAAGTCTGAGACTTGAAATCTACTCCGGTAATTAGACATTTGTCATAAGTTTGTATACATCAGCGTATGATTTTATCTGTTATTCATCATCATTTATTGTTCCTCTTAGTAAAATTCATGAAACTGTAGGAAGCATATAATGTATTTTTTTACATGCACCTATAGATGGAAATTATTTTCCAGATAATCCCAAATTAAATAACAAGCTTTATGTAATGTACAAGAACAAGGCAAAATACCAAAAGCTGAGAAACTAGCATGTTAGCGTCCATGAATCTTTACCTGATATCCGTATGATGATAAAAGGGCTTGGAAAACATTTATCACGCTAAGGTAATGGAAATAATTATTGACCTATCAAGTTTTCGATATCAGTTTTGAACAGAAATTAATAAGTAGATGAAGAAAAAACCCGGGAAAGCCTGGTTTAATAAGACTTAACCTACTGTTTCACAGGGTAAGTTGTGCTTTTCAGATTTCAGATTTGGTAGTTTGATGTTCTGCATAACTGGCCAGTCTGACTTTCATTCGGTTTTAGTGCTACTACTATACTGGTTAATAATTGTTAATACCCGGTAAGAACCAAAGCTAGAAATGTCAGATAACTAATCTCATGCTCACACCTTTAGATACTAAAGTGGTAACTTGCAGCCCTCCTACTATTTGCCTTTTCTGCTGAAGTCAGTAGGAGTCAAACCCATGCATGGAGAAGCTGCCTTTGAAAATATCCCGAATATCCTATGTATTTCTTTTTGATTTTGAGAATGCTGCTTCTTGCTGCGTGGTTACAACTAACTTTACCAAATGAGATAATTTTATTCCTTGTGATGACAGTCATTTTTAGAAGAATCTGTGATGCTCCATCTAGAAGATGAAATAAAAGGATTGCCTCATGGAAATTTGGAGATGTTTTTATCATTGTTTTCCTTTGTGAGTTTCTGATGTACTTTCTGAAACTTACGAAGCTGCTGTTGATTTGTTTGAAAACAATAGAAACAAAATCTGTGTACCAAATACCATAAAAACAGAATTAAAATACAATTGGAGTCTACAAGCAAATCAAGTTGTCACGTAACAAATTTTATTTAATTGCAATTTTATGATCTGTAATAAACTGGAGGGGGCATTATGTTGTCATCATTCTGCGTACCCATCTGTGTGTTCCATAGCTAAAATTGGCCAGGGTGTTGCTACGTACAAAAAACTAATATCCCTACTGATGTTTAGAAATCTGCTCTCCAGATAAAACTAGACATTATGTGGGAATCCAGAATGATGGTGAACTCTTAGATTGAAGCCCCCCCCAACTATTTCAGTGTAGGTCTTTAAAACTTGCTTTGTAATATGTTATTTTAGAGGGTCTCACTAATATAAATCATTCCTAAGTCTGCATGTTTTGATTAGTCTGTTCTTTTTCTTTTTTTTTTAACAAAAAGTCAACCAACATCTCATACCTGTATTACTTTCTGGTAGAATTACATTCACTGTATTCAATGCCTGTGAAATACTTCTGTACAAACATATTCTCCCATGCTGAACAAACCTACATCAAGGAAATGGTAATTTATAAAATGAAGATTGATGTAGGCCAAAACAGTATGCCCACTCTTATGTTATTGAGCAAAGAGACATATCAGGAGACCAATTTGGCTAAGCAGGGAAGCCATGAGGAGGGAAGCCATAAAACTTATGAGGAGCGGCTGAGGGAATTGAGGCTGTTTAGCCTAAAGAAGAGAATGCTGAGGGGAGACCTGATTACGGCCTACAAGTACTTGAGAAGGGATGGTGGGGAGGTGGGGGAGGGGCTCTTTACATTAGTTATGGGTGATAGGACAAGAGGAAATGGGTATAAGCTTAGTCAGGGGAGGTTCAGGTTGGATGTTAGAAGGAATTTCTTCTCTGAAAGGGTTGTCAGCTACTGGAATAGGTTGCCCAGGGAGGTGGTTGAGTCCCCATCCCTGGATGTGTTTAAGAAAAGGGTGGATGAACTGCTTAGGGACATGGTTTAATGGGGGATTAGGGACGGTTGGACTGGATGATCTCTAAGGTCTTTTCCAACCTAGAAATTCTATGATTCTATGACAGAGCTCAAATGCAAAAAGGCAGTACACAGGAGGTCGAAGCAGGGTTGGGCTGCAAAGGAAGAATTTGAAAACATTGCTTGGGCATGTAGGGATGGTGTCAAAAAAGCCAAAACTCTAATGGAGTTGAGACTTGCAAGGCATGTCACAGGTAACAAGATGAGCTTCTGCCTTTCCTCCTGAGAAAACATGAGCCTGCTGCTGAATGGTGTGAGTGATTTAGTGACAACAGACTCAGAAGTGGCAGAAGTACTCCATGCTGCCTTTTCCTCAGTCTTCACGAAGAAAGTCTCCCAGACCTCTGCGCTTAGAGAAGTGGTTCAAGGTGGAAGAGAACTGCCAGCCATGAATGAAGAGTAAGTCAGGGATCACTTGAGAGAACTCAGCCCAGACCAGTCCATGGGACCAGCTGAGTTGCATCCAAGGCTGCTGAGAGAACTAACTGATGTCCTTAAAAGGCCATTTTCCAATATCTTTGAAATGTCACAGAGGTCAGAGAAGGTCCTCAGTAATTGGAGGAAAGCAAATGTTGCACCCAACTTCAGAAAGGGCCAAAAGAACAATCTGGAGAACTGCAGACTGGTTGGCCTCACTTCAGTCCATGGGAAACTTGTAACAGAATAAATTGAAATGAGAGATTTTGACTGGAAATAAAGAGAAATCTTTTCACCCTTGGGACAATCGAGAAGTGGAATGGGTTGCCCAAAGAGGTTGTACTGTCTCCATCCTTAAAGGTTTTCAAGATCCAACTGGATAAAACCCTGAGTAACGCAGTCTGACCTCACAGTTGACCCTTTTTTGAGCAGAACATTGGCTTTGATGACTTCCTGAGATCTCTTCCAATATGTGTTACTGTATTGTCCCTGTGATCTTTTGGAAGAGGGCAATATTAATGGGATATATTAACATTAAGCATTTTAACAGCTATTTGTCAATATAATAGGTGCTATTCAGTGAGTAAAAGTAATTGGTTATTGATAGGTGAGATGGATAATCTGGCAGGAGGGAAGCAGTGCTTTAGGAAAATAGCACAGAGGTAATCTGGGAAGGAGGTATTTAAAAACCAGTCCGTCAGACTACATAAAAATGGACTTTTTACAAAACCAGGTCTTTAAGAATATCATATTCACAGAAAACCGATGTCTAATATGTTGGGTTTTGGAAAGGCTGCAGAACTCATTCATCACTTGTTCACCTTCCCTTCAAATTTCTCAGAATAAGTTTCTTAATCTGTACTTCTGTTTTTACTAAATCTGGATTTCATTCTGGCCAGTTGGAGGAAACCGATTGAGGATGTAGATATGAAGGGGAAATGGATGAAAGTGAGTAAGTAGCTTTGTATTTAGGAGGATAACAACAACAAGAAGATAAAACAGTTCAATGAAACAGCCTTCAATAGATTGAGAAAAACATTGTAGCAGCAAGAGAGTACAAGTAGATTATGAGGTTCTTGTAGTAAGGCCTGCATGCTGAGAAGAGATAGGAAGTGTAGCAAGAGAGAAAATAATGAGCTCTTCAGCAATCTGAAAAGGGGAAAGCATATACTGGATATTTGGTGCAATTCCTAAAACTGAGGATAATAATAACATGCAATGATAAAATTAAACAAGCTGAGGTGCAAAATACAAAGAACTAGCAGGGGAGGTGAGATATCACCATAAATAATTGTAAACACACACTTTGTAAAAGGAAGAGGAAAGAAAGAGTTGATCTACATGTGATCCTGAGAAGGCTGAAGTGCTTTTTGTCTTTTGCTTCAGTCTTCCTTAAATGTCAAATGATGTCCAATAGCAAATGGAATTCACATTCATAACAAAGGGCAGCAGTACAGGCTAAAATACTGAAACAACAGTTTTGAGACTAATCGGATGAGTGAGATGCTTTCAGATCAGCTTAGCCTGCTAAAATTCATCCTGAGGTGCTTAGAAAACTGGGTGATACAATCTTAAAATGGTTGCCCTTAAAAACTTTAGGAGGACCAGTGGGACTGGAGAATTCATGAAATGAGTGAAGTGTCCACTTTCTCAAAGGGGAAGAAGATGAGTCTGTAGACCTAAAAACTTGAGTCCCAAGAACCACAGAATTGTTGAGGTTGGAAAGAACCTCTTGAGATTTAGTCCATCCCTGCCCCTGCTCAATCAAAGTCAGCTAGAGCAGCTTGCCCAGGACCATGTCCAGTCAGGTTTTGAATACCTTTGCGAATGGAGACTCCACAACCTCTCTGGGCAACCTGTTCCAGTATTTGACCATCACAGTGAAAAAGTATTTTCTTGTGTTCAGAAAGAATTTCATGACTTTTAATTTATGCTTATTGCCTCCGGTACTGTCAATGGGTGCTACTGAGAACAGTCTGGCTCCATCTTCTTCATTCTCTCACGTGAGATGTTTATAGGCATAGATGACATTCTCCTGCTCTTGAGCTTACTCTTGTCCATGCTCAATAGTCCCAGCTCTCTCAGCCTCTCCTCATATGAAAGATGCCTCAATCCCTTAAGCTTCTTCATGGCCTTTTACTGAACTCATTACAGTAGCTCCATACCTTTCTTATCCTGGAATTAGTAATCAGATTTCCATGTATCTGGAACATAACAAAGCAAGAAGTAATGTCTGGTCTGAATTTGCTGAAAACAAATTATATCAAACCAACACAATTTTCTTTTGTGACAGAATATCAAGTTCTGTGGCCATGGAGAAACAGTAGCTGTCATTCAGACTTGTCTGAAATTTTCATACTTTCTCATGTGCCATTCTCATTAGGAAAGCAGGGCAATGTAGCTTGAACTGTATTAGATGGATGAAAACTGCTTGGAAGAAGAATTTGCTGAAAACAAATTATATCAAACCAACACAATTTTCTTTTGTGACAGAATATCAAGTTCTGTGGCCATGGAGAAACAGTAGCTGTCATTCAGACTTGTCTGAAATTTTCATACTTTCTCATGTGCCATTCTCATTAGGAAAGCAGGGCAATGTAGCTTGAACTGTATTAGATGGATGAAAACTGCTTGGAAGAACATGTGCAAAGAATAGTTCTTAGTGGTTCAAATCATGCTAGACTGTATAGCAGGAGGTGACTGTTTATACAACATGAAATATAACTCTTCTTGGTCCAGATAAAGCTTCAGCAGCAGTAGGATCATACCTGGAGATCTATTTTCAGTTACAATTTTTTAAGTAACTTTTTTTTGCAAGGATAACTTTAAAAATGCTCTCCAAGCGCATGGACATGTTCTGGGTTTAAAATGTCCTCCATAGAATAGATACAAAAAGCAAAGCGTTGTTAATAGAAAAGATTGGTTTCATTTTAGCAGGATCAAAATTTCAAAGCATCTCTGTCTTCACAAATGGTTAAGGCTGAAACTGTTCCTTTCCATCTGCTAAAGGCTCAGTTTCCATTTGCTCACTTTTGTAATGACCATTTAGGACAAAATTCTGTTGCAATTGAAGTGGAAAATTTTGGCATGCCAGCTGTGTTATCATAGAGTAGTTTTCTGACTTTAAAGCCTAAATTTGAATCCTGCTGAGTCACCAGGACCTCCTGAGGATGACTGAGAGCCCTTACGTTAGGAACTTGTCTACTTGCTTTACTTGTTTATGAAACCTAGTGTCAACTTAGTCTACAATAAAACTTGGAAATTTTATTTTTGAAAAAATTGTTTATTGTAAACCAAACTGTATTTCAAACTAAATAAAGCAAATGACAAGAGGAGGTTCGTAAGTGTTTTTCAGGAGTCTGTTAATCAGTTAAGCTCTCCTGTGACAATTAGGATGATGGTCTATGAGTAAGGAGCTTTGAAATCCCTTCCATTTATTATTTCATCAGTTTCAGCTGAAAATTTAGCACACAAACAAGACCTTTTTAAAAATAAGTCACCTTTTTCTTTTCAACTTCTAGTCCTGTGTCAGTTTAATAACTTTACATTTGGTATGTTGCTGAAGTTAATATTTTTAGTTAATCCGCTCTTCCAAAGAGTGCAGGCCACTTGGGCTTGGCTGTGTATCACACAACCTCTCTCACACTTTCTTTTCTAGTACCTCGAATGGAGGATACTGTTAACAGTCTGCTTGATTCTTGTGGAGAAAAGAAAATGACTATTCTGTGAATAGTAAGATCTGATTTATCAGCTCAAACAGCAGAGTAATGGCAGTGAGATCCATACTGTACATGAGACAGATAGTCCACATAGTCCGTTTGTGGAATGCCAATATTATTTGAAACTAGCCACTTTTTTTCTGTGCCAGAGGGAATACTGAACCTCAGGCTGTGCCAGGAGTGTATTTTTTAGATCAATTAGCAGCTTTTCAGGTACGAAGTTCAATCAGCTTCTTCTGCAGAGCATATCTCACTATCATAAGATAGTACTGACAGATAAAGTTAAGGCTTCTCCATGGCAGCTCACACCGAAATGACATATACTGGCGTTGATATGACTCACAGGCTCTGAGGATGGCATGCTGCATAACTAACCTGTCATATGCTGTGCTGGGAGCTAATGTGTCAACAGTCTGCAGACTACGTTGTAGCATTGGAAGCAAGTTAAAATATCAGGCAGCTACATGATACGACATTTACCACCTGTCCATTCCAACAGGAAAAGTGTCACTTCATCTTACAGCCAGTGCTTAATTTATAAAAACAAATTCAATAGTAGGTAGATATGTAATGTTTGCTACATGTTATTGAGTTTCTTCTGCTTGTAGGAAAAAGAATTAAAAAGCTAAAGTGTAATGACATCCCAGTGTATTTCAAAATAGGCTGCAAAACTTTATTCAACAGATGCGCCTTTCCTAACTTTGTCCAAAATTCTCTTTTTTATCTACACCGTTTGAGAGATGCATGACTTTTCATTTTCAAAACCAAACGTTATCATTGTAATGGCATACTCTGTGCACACAAGTTTTTAATTCACATATCGTATTTTCGATATTTATCATTTGTGTAATGTGTAATCTGTTTAAGTAAAATGAATTCTTTAATTATCTACCAATGATAAATATATAGTAGCAAGTTAGTATCAGTAGCTAGCCTGAAGTTGGTTTATAATTGTCTGTATTAAGTATGACGCAGGTAAGCATGAAAAATAATTTTTGAAGAGATGGTGTCTTTTATTAAGTTTTCTGATTTTCAAATACAGTGCATTGCATTACTACTTATATTAAAGTATTGTTCATTACTAATTCAAAACATAGTTATTAGTACCATTTTTCTTGTCTTCTGACACCTTTTCAAATCCTGCTTTTCATCTTTCTTTGTATATTTATAAAACCTCTTAATTTTCATTGTTTCAAATAAGAGAGTGGTTTAAAATCAGTTTAAACTGCCGCAAACTGAATGGGCAGCTGGCTTATAAGGACTTAACCTTCATTAGACGGTAGCTGCAAGCCAATTGTTGTTTTGGATCAAGCAAAGACACCTCAATGCAATAGGTGTCCCTTTCTAACAAAAAAAAGGTGTTATAGTCAAGGTTTTATTGTGGCAGTGCCAGGTTTCTAGAAAGGAATGTGTTCAAGCTAGATACATGCTCCCAACATTTTGTCTTTGGAATTCTTATGGTATTGGCTATAATTACAGGAAACGTGAAGAGGAAAGTAAGAGAAAAGAAGCCAAACTGCAGAAAGGGATGCAGTGCGTGGAACAAAATAGGTTTAGAGTACAACAGAATCCTGCAAATCGAGAGAAGACTACCAGCATCTCGCAGTTACCTAATAAACCAGCTGATATACAGAATAAGAGACCTCTATCCCTCAACGCTTCACAAATTCAATCGGGGAGAAACAGTAGAGGTTCACCTAAAGCTTGTCACAACAAAGGAACACCAAGGGAGAGTTGCCTGTCAGCAGAACCTCAGAGTGAAGGTCATAAAATCAGGCAAGGTTTGTAATCTTTTTTTTAATTGTCCTGATTGTCCTTTTTTGCCGCTGTCTAGGGGTGTTTTATATGTAAGACCTATTTTATCTTTCCATCATTTCTTGTTCTTTCGGTATTATAAGTAATTCATATAGCATAGAGTTAAATATAGATTCTTTCACTGTGTGTGTTCTGTCAACTTAAATAGTCAAAAGTACCAGTATATACGGTGTCTGTAAAAATACCTATAATATGTGAGAACAGGTTGTTCTATTAGTTGCACTGTTTGGAGAAAATGAGATTAAAGATATTTGGCATATCAGTGGGGTGCTTGAAGAAATTGTAACTCTTGTTTTTAAACAAGGTTAAAACGATGATAAAATTGTTCTAAGTGACATCTCTGGCATACTGAGGCAGCTGTTCAGTCAGCTTCATTCTCCGTGACAGAGTTCTCCCATGATTTATCTTTGAAGTCCTGTAGTTGAGAGTGCTCTAGGATATGTTTTGAGAAGTGAGACTATTTTTAGAAATTGTACTATGAAACAGTGTTTCACAGCTCTTTCTGTCTGTTTAGTCTGGACAAGAGGAGGCTCAGGGGGGACCTTATCGCTCTTTACAATTACCTGAAAGGAAGTTGTAGGGAGATGGGGGTCGGTCTCTTCTCCCACGTTATGAATGACAGGACGAGACGGAATGGCCGCAAGTTACGCCAGGGGAAATTTAGGTTAGATATCAGGAAAAATTTCTTTACAGAGAGGGTTGTGAAGTATTGGAACAGGCTGCCCAGGGAGGTGGTGGAGTCCCCATCCCTGGAGGTGTTTAAAAATCAGTGTGGATTTGGTGTTGAGGAACATGGTTTAGGGACCCTGACAATGCAGGGTGAATGGTGGGACTCGATAATCTTGAGGGTCTCTCCCAACCAAATGATTCTATGATTCTTGCCTTGCTGCACTCTTTTATTCTACCTGTAAATGCATCGCAAGTTTATCCTCATTTTTTGACTACTCCTATATTAGTTTTACAAGATACGCATTTTAACAACATTTCAGTCAGTTCTGACTTCAGCCAGTTATAGGAGCCTATGGCTCAAGTCTTTCAAAACTGGTAATGTTAAAATGTCTTTGTTATCATTAGAAGCAAAAACTGGATAAGTAGTTTATTTAAAGTTGCAAGAACTCCTTCTCAGATGTCAAATTACTGCTAATTCCTCTGGATGTTCTGCTAATCAGAATATGATAATAATCCAAAAGAAAAAAAAGTCAAAGAGCTGTTCTTACTGAATCATTTTACCTAGATTTCTTTAGCTTTTACATGGAAGTGTCTTGGTAAACAGAATACTTGAGTATATTGTCATAGTGAAAGCAGACATATATATCTTAGCCTAACGTATGCTATGATAGCTAAGTAATAATAAACAGAGCTGTTAAAAATTCTAGCAAGCTTTACCTGCATGTGTATTAACTTTAAATTAATTAAAATATTCAGATGGCAAAGTAAAACATACAAGAAGAATCAGAAGCAGTGATTGCCAAATGAAAAATGGGTGGTTTCAATGAACTTAAAGAGGAGAAATTGATAAGCATGGAAAAAAGGGAAAGGAGAAAGATAGATGTTGGAGGGGGATTACAACAGTGAAGAGAGAAGTGTGTAGCTTGGGCTTTTGATTGAAGGCTTCTCTGAAGTTGGAGATTTACACAAATGTTCTGGATATGCCAGAATAAATTTTTCCATGTTGATGGTTTTGCAAGTAAAGTTTTAAAATCATATGGGCTATTGCCTGGAGATTTTTTGGTTTTCAGTATAACTTTAAAAGCTGAATATAATTTCTGCAAAAGATTGAATTTTAATTTTCAATTAAAAATTCTTTGCTGTTACTATCTTTCTTCACTGTGAGTGCTGAACATGAAGAGAGCAAAACTCTTTACTCAAGGTTCTTCTGAAAAGATGATAACATGTCTACTTCTACAGTGAGACAAGTTTACCTTCAGAGATTGTAACGCCCCCTCTTGCTCAATCCAAAAAGCCTATATTTGAAATAAAATGCTATGCCATTTTTACCTAAACATTCTCTTTTTGTTACTGGAATGATGCCAGAAAAGTTGACACGGTAAGGATCAAATCATGAAGTCCTGTAATCAATTCTCACTAAATGTTTTAATCATTCCTCTTGTGACCAAAACTTTAATGGACTTCATTGGATGTTTTATTGGAATTAAATATAAATTTAGATTCTGTGGCCTGGCACTCAGAAAGATTTTCAGCAATTGCAAATAGATTTTTTGCATCTGCTAACAATATATGAAAACTGTGATTTAGTTGGTGGGTCTGTTCTGGTCTCTTCTCCACTTGGAAATCTCTTTCCTATGTATATTATCTCATTTGACTTAATTGTAGTAGCAACAGGTAAGTTCTTTTTTTTGTGCTTAGCACTTGTTATTGCTGGGTCTTCCTATCTAAGACAGTTTATTTCAGCCTCAAAAGATGATCTGTAGTACTTAAATGATGGGGTTTTTCATTCCTCAGTTGTCCAGTTGTTCAGGTTAGGAAGTTTTGCACACACTACTTTAAAAACATAAATGTGTTACAGTTGAAGTAAAAAAAGTGTTTTGTATGCCGTACATACAAACCAGGTAGCTGGTTTTGGTGAGTTCAGAATGACAAGGCCATTTTTAAAAGGGTGTGTTCTTTTTCCTCATAACTGTAAAAATCAACTTGTTGGAAGATCAAAATAGTGTTGTGACAGTGATGGAAATTTCTTTTCAATTGGCTGTCATCTCTATACTGTTGTTATTGATGGCACTGGCAATTTTGTACTTGGCTTCATTAAGAGTGGGATTATGCCCATGGAAATCTTTGTTTCAAAAGGCACATTTTTAAAACTTTCTATTCCTCTGGTGAATGAGAGAGAGAGGGGGAATTTCCTTCTTTCTTCTGGGAGATTAAAATAATAGATTAAAATTAATTAAATAAGTTATATATTAAAATAGATTAAAATAATAGACTTTTTTCCCTGTCCCAGAATATACAGGACTCATTACCCATACGAAAATCATGTATAAATTAGAGTAACCTCTCAGACCATACTGACCTGTCACCATGATACGTCTTCTCTGTTGGAGACATCATTGATGATAACGATGATTTTCTTCTGTATAATCTGGTAATCTGCCATATTCTGTTATCCAGTCAAGGGAGTATCCTTGTAAAAGTGTTAAAGTGAGGATAAATGTAGCATGATTTTACCAGGTTTTGGATAATCCAGATTTTTTTCTGTGATTCCATGATGTCAAAGATATTTCTATTTTTTTTTTCTTTTCCCTATTACCTGCCCTGTAACACCCTGTCTGTTACATTTTGTCTTGTCTGTGTATTTTCTTATTCCCCTGTTAGTTTCCTGACAAAACAGAAGGTGGATGGTAGATGGAGATTCTCAAGTTTTGCACTCCAGTCTGGCTTCTGAGTCATCCTCACAAGAATGTTTAGAAGCAGTTATCACACAGGATTTATTTTCCCACCCTAGACTTGGAAAAGAAATCTTGTAGCAAGGGAAAACGGGAAGGACTTCATAGTTTCTTTTAGGATGTCAAGGGTGACATTTTAGGATGTCAAGTTTCGTTTAGGATTTCTACTGAGAAGCCAAGAGCTGTGGGTTTCCTGGGTCGGTGGGTTACCCTGTCTGTCATCACGTGCCAGGATGTGGGGTGACTAAAGCAGAAGCTTAGCAAATAAGCTTGAAACAGGGAAGGTCTGTTATGGTGTCTTCACT